CAATTTTAAGAGGTCCCTCATCGAATCTGCCGCTTAAATAGCACAGAAAACTGACCTTTTTACCTTATTTATTCTTGCAACCTAGGAAGAAATTTTTTTTTTCATAAAATCCATGACCAAATCTTACAAAGCATTAAACTTGGACGAAAAAATCTTATTAAGCCGAATTTCTATTTTCATTATTTAATTTTTTTACAGAGCTTTAAATTTAAAATTTTACGTTTTTTGCCTTTTTCAGCTAAACTATTGAAATTTTTTATATCGTCAATATTCTAAAAGTTACAGGCGTATAAAGTCATCATTTTTGTATTATTATCTTTAAATTTAAAGCTATGTAAAAAATTAAATAATGAAAATAGAAATTCGGCTTAATAAGATTTTTTTGTCCAAATTTAATGCTTTGTAAGAATTAGTCATGGATTTTACGGAAAAAAAAAATCTTCCTAAGTTGCAAGAATAAATAAGGTAAAAAGTCAGTTTTCTGTGTTATTTAAGCGGCAAAACTTCAGATTCGATGAGGGACCTCTTAAAATTGAAATTATGAGCTCCGCTTTTAACAGAATATTTGTTCGGACATATTCTACGATATTTTGGGTGGAGAGCAAGAAAAAAAAATATCGAGTTTTTTTGGCACACCCTAATATATATATATTTATATATGTATGTATAAATTAGTGCTGTACAATTTAACCGGTTAAGCCAGCCAAAAAAGTTAGCTAAGTTAATTAGCTAGCTAACTGATCAGCTTAGCTAATTTACCACCCAACCGCATGTTGCAAACAAAAAAATAATAATATTTTTGGGACACATTTTTTTTTAAATCACTAATTAATTTATTAATCATATAACTACAACAGAAAATGGTTAGTACGACAAGTCAAAAAGATAAATTAAAGTATACTGAACATAAATTTGCTAAAATATAGGAGATTTTTTTTAACAAATATTTCTTTATTAAAAAAAAAATTTAACTCAATGATTTTTTGTTTGTTTTTAGCTATATAATATTATTTTATTGCCAAAATTAAATTAAAAGTTTACCCTCACAGATGTGTTTATATTTTAAATTGAAATTACTAATATAAAAATTCATATTTCTGTAACCGTTCAAGTTAGCGACTTAATTTTTGTTTTAAAAATGTTCTGACTACATTTGAATCGATATATATGTATAGAAATTTTCAATAGCTCGCCGCGGAGTAAAGTTTTTAATGCACGATTTTGATAATTCTATATTGAAATTTTTTTTTTTCAAAATCTTTAAAAAAATTTAAAATTTCTGAATTGCTATTAGAAGCGCTCACATTTCAAGTATAAGTCTGCAAAAAATCAGAATTTTAGATTGTATTCTAGAATAAATCGTTATCGACTTAATTTTTTAATTATTTCAAGTTAGCGACTTAATTTTTGTTTTAAAAACTTTGTCAATGTTCTGACTACAAAATCGTTGAAATTTGAAGCCCAATTTCAGATTTCTGGATGATAACGCTCGCTTGCACAGAGCCAGGGTAGTACAAGAATGGCTAGCATTCCATGAAATTAATTATTTGCCATTGCCCCTGCTCTCTCCAGATTTAAACTGCATCGAGCATGGTTGGGACAACTTCCTGTTCAGGACGTAAGGTCACTGAGGCAAGTTCTTCCATATTTATGGGATACCTTGGATCAAAATGACTTGGATCGTTTAATTTTAAGCATGCCTCGCCGAGTTGAAGCAGTAATAGCCAACAGAGGTGAAATTACACGCTATTAATCATTTTTTTCTTTTTGATAATTATCTGTTTTATTACATTGTAAGAGAAAAGTTGCCTGTAAATTCTAATTAAAATATTTTTTCAGTTAAACAAATGTGATTTATTTCTAAAAGAGATGAGAGTAAATGTACGTTATACAAATTTTTTTGAAAACTATTTTTTTCTCAGAGAATTCACAATATCCTTAACTTATTTCGATCAGTTTATTTTAGTTTCTAATATAAAATATTACATAAAGGAAAAAAATAATGTAAACTGTATACCATTTAGTGGAATAAATAAATAAAAAAAAATTTATTCAGAATGGTCATGGGAAATTTCGACAAAAGAGTGCGCATGTGCCAGCAAAGCTCCACGGCCATTTACCCGATGTGTTATTCCATAAATAACCCTATTCTATGAGCTTTATGATTCAATAAAAAAATAACAATCTAAAGACTAAAAACTGTGTTTTCTATTTAATTCAAATCTTGCATTACTTTTGAGACACCTTTTATTAGAGAGCGTTCAAGTATTACGTAACGCAATTTTTGGAGATTTTTAGCTTAGCTCCCTTATGCAAAATATGACAATTTTCAGAAAAATAAGCAATTTTAAATGCCAACAAATCAATTTTCCTAAAGTCTGTCGCTGATACAAAAAAATAAATAATAATATTTTTGGGGCAATTTTTTTTTTCAAAAATCAATAATTAATTTATTATTTACAAAACTACAACAGAAAATGGTTAGTATGACAAGTAAAAAAGATAAATTAAAAGTATACTAAACATAAATTGGCTTTTGAAGAAAAAAAATTGCCCCAAAAATATTACTATTATTATTTATTTTTATGCATCAGCGACAGACTTTAGAAAAATTGATTTGTTGGCATTTAAAATTGCTTATTTTTCTGAAAATTGTAATATTTTGCATAATATAATTTATAAAGAATTTTAATTCCAAACGGAGAAGCGATTTTATCCCACTATGAGGGTGATTCGTAACATTAACCGTTGTATTTATTCTAGAATACAATCTAAAATTCTGATTTTTTGCAGACTTATACTTGAAATGTGAGCGCTTCTAATAGCAATTCAGAAACGTTAAATTTTTTTAAAGATTTTGAAAAAAAAATTTGCAATATAGAATTATCAAAATCGTGCATTAAAAACTTTACTTTGCAGCGAGCTATGTGAATTATTGAAAATTTCTATACATATATATCGAGTCAAATGTAGTCAGATCATTGACAAAGTTTTTAAAACAAAAATTAAGTCGCTAACTTGAACGGTTACAGAAATATGAATTTTTATATTAGTAATTTCAATTTAAAATATAAACACATCCGTGAGGTTATAACGGGTAAACTTTTAATTTAATTTTGCCAATAAAATAATATTATATTATATAGCTAAAAACAAACAAAAATTCATTGAGTTAAAATATTTTTTAATAATGAAATATAATAATAATATTTGTTAAAAATATCATTCTTATATTTTATCAAATTTATGTTCAGTATACTTTAAATTATCTTTTTGACTTGTACTAACCATTTTCTGTTGTAGTTATATGATTAATAAATTAATTAGTGATTTTTGAAAAAAAAATGTGTCCCAAAAATATTATTATTATTTCTTTGTTTGCAACATGCGGTTGGGTGATTCGTAACATTATTCGTTGTATTAATTCTAGAATACAATCTAAAATTCTGATTTTTTGCAGACTTATACTTAAAATGTGAGCGTTTCTAATAGCAATTCAGAAATTTTAAAAATTTCTAAATATTTTGAAAAAAAAAAAATTTGCAATATAGAATTATCAAAATCGTGCATCAAAAACTTTACCCTGCGGCGAGCTATGTGAATTATTGAAAATTTCTATACATATATATATACAGTCAAATGTAGTAGCGGTTAAATGCAAAAAACTGTTTTTTTATTAAAAATATGACTTTTAGACGTACAGGTCAAAAATATAGGTTGTATAAAAATTACGTACTTTTACCTATTTAAATATTAGTAGCGTAAAATACCGCCAAGCTATGGAAAATTGAAAAATATCCTTAATTTCATGTTATTTCAATGGGAAAACTTAAAAAAAAAATCAAAATAAAAGAACTCAGAAGTAAGGGCTTAAACTTTAAGGGAATTTTTTTCTCGATATGTACCTAAATCAATATTTTGGTTAAGGAGTGACAAAAAATTATGTTCCCTCAAACAAATTATTCTTTGCTTGCTCGATACCCTATTTTTAGAAATGTCTAATTTATAAACATAATAATTACCACAATCCACAAAACTGTTCGATCTCGTACTAAAAATACTAAAAATCACTGCAACACCGCACATTATTCAATGGTGGCCATTTTTGTTGTTTACAATTCTTGTGCTTTGGGTTGATTTAGAATTTTAACCGCTAATTAATAAATAAAATAATATTTTGGGACATTAAAAATTTTGGATTTTCAGTGTCCCTTCTGAGATATTTCAGATTGAAAATACCCGATTTTAGACAAATCTAAGGACAAAACTTTTTAGAAAAGTAGTATACTACAAAGACTGTATACAGAAAAAATATTTAAGGTAAGTCCAAAGGTAAGTCTTAACATTTTGAATTGTAAATAAACAACTTTTTATTTTGTAAACGTTAACATACACCAAAATATATTTTGGCCTATAGGCTGAAGCACGATTACAAAGTGAATGATTACAATAAAAACTGAAGATCTAAAAAATTAACGAAAACCTGTTTTCAACTCTCTAAGGATAGTACAAACAAAATAAATAAAATAATATTTTGGGACATTGAAAATTTTGGATTTTCAGTGTCCCTTCTGAGATATTTCAGATTGAAAATACCCGATTTTAGACAAATCTAAGCACAAAACTTTTTAGAAAAGTAGTATACTACAAAGACTGTATACAGAAAAAATATTTAAGGTAAGTCCAAAGGTAAGTCTTAACATTTTGAATTGTAAATAAACAACTTTTTATTTTGTAAACGTTAACATTCACCAAAATATATTTTGGCCTATAGGCTGAAGCACGATTACAAAGTGAACGATTACAATAAAAACTGAAGATCTAAAAAATTAACGAAAACCTGTTTTCAACTCTCTAAGGATAGTACAAACATAGGTAAAAAAATTCAGCAACCATCATTGGTTAATTTGATATTGCTTAACATTATTATGAAATTTAAATCTTAGCATCCCTCCTCCAAGCAGGGTGGCTAATTACATGTAATGTAATTACAGACTTACCTCAATTCGTTTTTCATAATTTTTACCAAGAACAATTCTATCCACATATATGCCAGGAACATGCACACTATCAGGATCTAGGGTTCCCGTATCAACTATTTCTTCAACTTCAACAATTGTTGTTTTAGCAGCCTTAGCCATAGTTGGGTTAAAATTTCTCGCAGACTTGCTAAATAAATATTTAAATTGAGTTTTTGTTAAACAGCACTTATTTCGAATTGATAAAAATCTCTCATTATTTTATAAACAAGGATTATTTTACATTTTAAATAAGAAACTATTTTTTTTTATAAAAACAAAACCACCAAGAATTTATGCCATTGCAACAAACATGGCAGAAAACATTTTTCTGCTCTATAGTTGGTAGCAAATTATGGCTATATGAGATGATATACAGGGTGAGTAATTTAACTTGAAACTTTAAAATACCTCAGTTAGTAAGCATTTAACGAAAAAATGTTTAAAATAAAAATTAAATGATTCGAGGGGGGAAATCAATCAAATTACACCTCATTAAAAAGCGTTTTTGATTCACTATACATTGCTGCTTAGTTTTAGAAAATCGATCGACTCGTTTAGAAATTATGGAGCTTTAAAATACTAACAGTACATTCGACGAAAAATGCACAAATCGATTTAATTTTACTTAAAAACTGACAGTATTATTGAAATAAATTCCTACAAAAGAATTCACTGTTTTGCTGGTATTTTTTAGTCCCGTATTAGTGAGTAATTACTAATAATAATATATATATATATATATATATATATATATATATATATATGGGGCATTCCATGCCAAATCACCGAGTTTTTTACGCGACACTTTTTGATTTTGCTAAATTTTTGATAGGTATGTTTTAGTACGTATTGAAAGCAACTTGCACACCAACTTTTAGCCTTTTATTCCAAACCGTTATTGAGATTGATAGACTAGTGATAAATATCGATAATCGTAAAAATGGGGTATCATCTTTTTCATTTTTAAATTGAGTTTCAGAAAAAAATAAACAAAAATTATTCAAAGTGATTATCATGTAGTTATGTGCGTTTAAAGCTCAAAATCGACATTTTTAAAAAGTCCGACCCCTTCAATTTTTTTGAAAATTTTCCCAAAATTCTACTTCATATTACGCAACTTTTAAGCCAAAGCAAAAGATGTGATCATAATTATTTTTATTTTTTAGCGAATATTGAAAATTTCATTTAATTATCCACATATGGATATTTTAACTAAATATATACAGTGTGTCCACGGATAGACTTAACTATACTTGTAAAAATATTTATTTTTAATTTTTCGAAGAAAAAGTCACTTTTCATAATTTCTTCTGCTTGTTATATAAATACCATTTACGATGAGTAACTTCTATTTTGTTATACAGGGTGCGCAAAAAAAATGCAATTGTTGATAACTAATATCTTAAATTTTCAATATCAAATATCTTAGTATCAAAAACTCATATGAAAAAACTTCATTTGACTTTTTTTGACTTCTCCTTACCAAGTCTTTATATTAGAGCTTCAAAAAAAATATTTAAAATTTTTTAAATTTTGAAAATCAGTAGTTTTGCTCACCCTGTACAACTAAATGGATGTTTCTCAACGCGAATCGTATAACAAGCAAAAAAAATTATGAAAAATGAGTTTTTTCGGAAAATTGAAAATAAATATTTTTACAAGTATAGTTAAGTCCATCCGTGGACACACTGTATTTGTAAATTTTATTGAATGGGTTTCAATGATTTAAACTAATTTGAAATATTTTACTTAGTCATTATAGTCATTTTATTTTTTTTTTGTACTTAATGACTAGGTACTTTTTATTCTTATTGATATTATTGTGAAGTGAAAACTTGTCCGAACTGGAAAATGGCTTCACTTCCACAGCATGATCCAATACAGGCGTAATTCTATGGATTTTATGCGTTGCCGGTATCGGTTTAACACTTTTAAACCGATCTTCTAATTTTTCTTTCATCGCACTATACTCTTCAACTGTTGAGAACCGAATATTTATATTTGGTAAATTTTTCGATGACCACTCAAACAATTGTTTTTGTGTTAATATCTGTAGATGAGGTGGCAACTGCAGACTAGCTCGTGTGGCCATTCCACCTAATCCATCACAAGGTCCTTTGCCGTATGCCGTTGCAAAAAAGTTCCATTTAACATTTATACCATAATCTTCTTTGAAATAAGAAAAATTAATGAAATGATTATACTTTTTATATTTTTGAGGTGCACCATCCGAAAAGAAAAAAGTTAAAAAACTTCAGGAGATATAGATTTAATAAAATTTATAATAACTCCTAAATTAACATAAACAGCAATAGTATCATGAATTAGCTATTAGAAATTATAACCATACTTTGATGTGTAAGTTCGTTATCAATCTTATAATAAATAACTACAGTGTATACTGTCGCCTGATCGTTATTTCAGTGGAATCCCGGTGCAGCATCCTGAACTACGAACGCATAATTTTCAGAGAAATCAACAATTACTATAAATGTATACTCTTTCAAAAACTCTTTGCTCTTAAATAATCTGCTTGCTCTTTTGCAATAAAATTATGTGGCAATAAAACCCTAAGTTTTTCACAAAAGTCATTAACAAAATCCATTGTGCTTTTAATTGTTGTTTCAAGAGTTACTCGTGGAGTAGACACCCATTGTTTATAATTTATTTCATGAATTTCATTATCGTCCATTTCTGTTAATAAATGTTGTTTTATACTCTTAACTCCTGGACAATAAGGACAATTATTAAAATAGCACTCAGCCGATGGTGTTTGACATACAATAGTACTTAAACAATCATTGTAAGATTTCAATGATAAGTTTGTGCCTTAAGTTAATTGTGATAACTTGCTCCTGTAAGAAATGAAATGAAAAAATATTAAGGCATTTAAAGTATTCACTAAGACGTTTGAAATAATTATTAGTTATAAGTTATATGATAAGTGTCATAATAGTTATTTGTTTTACAAGTGTTGAAAAGCGACTTTTTCGTGCGAGTGTTTAAGTTGCTCACGAGGCCGTCAGGTCTAGTGTGGATTAACACGAGCTTGAAGAAAGCTTTTCTCACAAGTGAAACACGACCATTTTATTTTGTATTATTTTTAACAAAGTGACTAGAAGTACACCGGGAGTACCGTTATTAAACGTACACCGGGTGGAAAAAAATGGTCGCTCAATTTCGCGCTCAATGGGGCGGGGGGGGGCCAATGGGGCGGGGTCGGTTGGGTTGGGTTGTTGAGTTTGGGTTGATTTGGGTAATTCATACTGGCATTTCATTAATTTTGTTGTTAATTGTATTTCAATCAATTAATTAAATTTTAATCAATGTTTATATTTACAACTTGAAAGTTAGCTTAATAATTACATAATTAATATCAAGAGTTAACCAGCTGTTTACCAACTATTATACAACTGGGCCTTAGTGTACCAATTTAATCTCAACTAATAAATCCGAAATTTTACCATCAGCTGGTATGGAAACACGCATGCGCACAAACCTGATGTACGTTTAATGCCCGTACTCCCGGTGTACTTCTAGTCACGGCGTATTTTTAAATACAAAACAAAATAACCTAAAAACGTATTTGACAGCTGTTAAAATTACTTTTATTATTTTAATTTTTAAGGTATATGTAAGTTACTTAAAATCAACAAACTTGCCTTATTAATTTTAATAAAGCCACTATAAATTAGAATTTATTATAGAAACACAATTAATTGTGTTCTAAATGATATTTAGACACATACAAATTTCGAAACGAATATCAAACGTTGCTGTCAATTTCTTTTCACACAGACCTGTCACTTTTCACACAGAAATGTCACATTTGTGTTTTGCCTTGCCAATGAAAAGATTCATTTTCTAAGCAACGGTGCCAATACGAAATGTGACTTTTACATAGTGGTCGTAGAAAAAAATTATTTTTTCATTTTCGAACCTACCTAAGATCATAAGTACCTATAATATTTTGATAAATAGAACAAATACAAACTGTATGAGTGCCACATCCACCAGCTAAAATACAATACTTTGGACCTAAAAATGCAAAAGACGAAAATCCAATTTTTATTTCCGGATATCTTGACTTGAATATTTTATATAACAGAGACTAAAAGTTTCTGGGTTTAAACTTTAGTATCATCATCATTACGCAAAGAAATAAAATCTTATCGTCATTATAAAAATTTATAACAGCCGACACAACTTCAGCAGATAATCCGCGGCCTGCAAAAACCAGTTTTAGTTATGAAGATGATAAATATTTACACTATAATAATTTCAAAGTGCATTAATATGTAACTCAATGTCTCAGCAATTTTCTTTGCAGGCACTGATAATACTCCTTCGTTATAAACAAGATTTTTTGCTACTCGTACCATATGCTCACTAGCACCCATTACTTTGACGATCTTATTGACGCTCCAACTTGAGGGCAGTAGAGATAAAATTTGTACGCGCGAGGATCTGCTTGTGTTATCGTCATTAAATTTATCTCTAAATCTGTTAATAATTTTCGCAGCATCCAAATCGCTACATTGATTATTTAAATCATCTTCAACTCCCAATGCTTTTCTCAAATTGTGAGCAACACAAATAACTTTATCGTTTAAAAATGTATCACATTTCTTTTTTTGTACAGCGATCGTGGATTGCAATAGTAACAACCCTTGATTTATAGTCGGAATCCAAACTCAGTTTAGACCTCGATGAACTACTTTATTGTAATTTTTGGACACTTGATGTTGGCTGTAAAAAAATTAAATTGAAATACTAAGACTAATAAGTAATAAATATTGAACAAGTACCTGTCACACTAACGACTTGAGGATCGTCAACGATGCAAAACTCTCATATCACTCTCATATCACTTTCATCGGAACGATTAACAGCATAATGTTTAAGTAAATTTTTATAACATGCACTACATACACGTTCGTCGGTCGATAAATTGTAGCGAATTAATTTTGTGTTTCTTTTAATTAATTTGATTACAACAACGATCAAACAATTTTGTCATTATTATTGTTAGTAAACAAAAGTAAAAAAAATGTTTACTTTAAATAATTAAATAAATATTAAGCCCTACCGCGAACAATATCTGCGTAATTAATTAAGAACCAAAAAAAAATTAAAAAACGGATTGGA